TGGCACCGCCAAATTCCAGGGAGATCCCAAAACCCCCCAGGGAAATCCTGGAGATTTTTCCAGGAGCTCCTCCTGAGCCAAGGCTGCCTCCGGAGCGGGGTTCAATGGGATTTCTCTGGAATAACAATTTTGGGAATGTGAGGAAGAGCTCGGGAACGCATCCCCGGAGCTGCCAGAGGGGGGAGCGCTGATCCTGGCCCTGAGCCGTTCCAGAGCCTTTGTTCCCAAAAAAACCCTGGAAAAACTCGGGAAAACTCCGGGGTTCGGGTTTGGTGCTCCTTGTCCTGGAATTTTGGGAATGGCTCCATCGTATCCCCATCCTAATTAATTCCCGACCCTGCCCTAAGGAAAGTTTTCCCTGGATTTCACCTTGTGAACACAGGGATTAACCAAGGGAGGGAATTTTGGGAATTGTGCTCAGATAAAGTTTTTTATACAGGAAAATCAGAGAAATTAGGAAAATGTGAGCGTTTTTTTCTGGATTTCAGTAAAATTGTGGAAATTTTGGGATATCAGAATCCTCACAATCTTTTGGAACTGAGGGAATGGCCTCAGGCAGTGCCTTGGAGGGGGGGTTATGTGGGATTTTTGGGAATATTCCCCCTGGAAAGGTCTGTCAAGGGTTTTGGGATTCCATGGTTTATAGGATTCCATGGTTTGGGATTCCATGGTTTATGGGATTCCATGGTTTATAGGATTCCGTGGTTTTGGGATTCCATGGTTTATACCATTCCATGGTTTGGGATTCCATGGTTTGGGATTCCATGCTTTATAGGATTCCATGGTTTATATGATTCCATGTTTTGGGATTCCATGGTTTATAGGATTCCATGGTTTTAGGATTCCAGTTAAATCCCAATTCCCAATCCATCCGTGTTCGCTCCGTCAGATTTTCCAGGTCTGGATTTGGGATCAGTCCCGGAGCCCTTGGGGCACGCAGGGATCAGCAGCAGGAGCTGGGATTGCTGGAAAATGTGAATTCCAGGAGATCCCAGAACCTTCTCCAGGGGTTTTTCTGGGAGAGCTGGGGAGGCATTTGGTGTAAAAGCTGAAGGGATGAAAAACAGGGAATGGCTTCCTATGGAATATTGGGATTTTTGGGGTGGAATTCTCAGAGAATCTGGGGCTGCTCCATGCCTGGAGCATCCCGGGATAGCAGGAGCTGCCCCACAGGAATGGGATCATCCCTAAAATCCCTTCCATCCTAAACCCTCTTCCATGATTCCATGGCTTTGGGATTCCATGGTTTTGGGATTCCATGGTTTTGGGATTCCTTGGTTTGGGATTCCATGGTTTATAGGATTCCATGGATTTGGGATTCCATGTGGGAGGAATGACATCACCCAAAACATTGGAAATGACCCGGAGCGAGCGGAAACTTTCCCTGATTTTTTTATATTCTTACTTTTTTGTTGGTTTTTTTTTTATATATATTCCACCTTTTTTTAATATTCCTGCTTTTTTATACTCCATTTTTTTTTGTATTCCTGCTTTTAGTTATATTCCACCTTTTTTTAATTCCCGCTTTTCGTTGTATTCTTGATTTTTTTTGAAATATTCCTGGTTTTTTTTTATATTTCACCTTACTTTATATTCCTGCTCTTTTGTGTTCCTTTTTGTTATAGTCCTGCTTTTTTAATATTCCTGCTCTTTTAATGTTCCTGCTATCTTTGTATTCCTGCTTTGTTATATTTTTGCTTTTTTAATATTCCAACTTTTTCTTTTTATTCCTGCTTTTTTTTTTTATTCCGCCTTTTTTTAATTCCTGATTTTTTGGTATATACCTGCTTATTTTAATATTACTGGTTTTTTAAAATATTCCTTTTTTTAATATTCCCACTTCTTTTAATTCCACCTTTTTTTAATTCCTGATTTTTTTGTTATATACCTGCTTATTTTAATATTACTGTTTTTTAAAAATATTCCTTTTTTTAATATTCCCACTTCTTTTTATTCCAACATTTTTATTTCTGCTGTTTTGTGTTCTTTCTTTTTTGTTCTATCCTGCTTTTTTATTATATTTCTGCTTTTTGTTACAGTCCTGCTTTTTTTGTTCTATTCCGGCTTTTCTTTATTCCTGCTTCTTTTATATATTCTACCTTTTTTTAAATTTTCCACCTGTTTTTAATTCCTGCTTTTTGTTATATTTCTGCTTCTTTTCCTATTCCTCTGGTCTTTTTTATTCCTGTTTTTTAATATTCCTGCTTTTTTCATATTATTTCCTTTTTCGTGTTCCTGCTTTTTTTCATACTTTTGGGGTTTTTTAAATATTCCTGCTCTTTTCCCCTGGTTTTTTTTTTTTTTATATTCCTACTTTTTAAATATTTCTGGTTATTCTACTATTCCTGATTTTTTTTATATTCATGCTTCTTGTCATATTCCTGCTTTTATTTCATTTTCCTAGGGTTTTTTTTTTTAATATTCCTGCTTTTTTTGTATATTCCTGCTTTTTCCTATTTCTGCAGTTTTCTATATTCCTGCTTTTTTTTTTTTATTCATGCGTTTTTTGACATTCTTATTTTTTGTTCTATTCCTGCTTTTTTTTATATTCCTGCTTTTTTCTCTCCCTCCTGGGGATTTTTCCGCTCGGTGCTGCCGGCCGGGTTTGGAATGTCTTCCCAAAAATCCCGGGGTGAGGGAGGACAATTATCAGAAATCCTGCATCTGAAATTCGGGAATAAAGAGCTGGAGTTTGGGAAAAAATGGGCTGAAGGTTGGGAAAACCAAGGCTGAAAAGTGGGATAAAAGGCTGGAATTTGGGAAAAATGGGGCTGAAATTTGGGGGAAAAGATGGGAAAACTGAGGCTGAAAGTTGGGAAAGCTGGGGCTGAAATTCCCCATTCCCCATTCCCATTCCCCATTCCCATTATCCCATTCCCCATTCCCATCCCCCATTCCCCATTCCCCATTCCCATTCCCCATTCCCATTCCATTCCCATTATCCCATTCCCCATTCCCATCCCCCATTCCCCATTCCCCATCCCCATTCCCATCCCCATTCCCATTCCATTCCCATTATCCCATTCCCATTCCCCATTCCCCATCCCCCATTCCCATCCCCATTCCCATTATCCCATTCCCATTCCCATCCCCATTCCCCCATCCCCATTCCCATCCCCCATTCCCCCATTCCCATTCCCCCATTCCCCATTCCCCATCCCCATTCCCCATTATCCCATTCCCCATTCCCATTCCCCATTCCCATTCCCCATTATCCCATTCCCCATCCCCCATCCCCATCCCCATTCTCCATTCTCCATTCCCCATCCCCCATCCCCCATCCCCATTCCCATTCCCCATTCCCATTCCCATTCCCACCCCATCCCAAACTCCACGCTCCCAGGATTTTCACCCCATTCCCACCCCAATTTAAGGGGAAAATTCTTGGGATTTTCATCCCATTCCCACCCCATCCCGAACTCCCCATTCCCAGGATTTTCACCCCATCCCAAACTCCCCATATCCCACCCCAATCCGGGGGGCCCTGGAGCCACTCCCGGCCGGAATCCCTGGCTGCTTTTCCAAGCTCCCACCTCATCAGGCTCCGGATTCTGGGAATGTGCGGGGGCAGCCGGAGCCTGTTCCGCTCCTCGGGATCGTTCCCCACAAACTCCGGGATTTGCTGCCCCGATTCCCGAGAATATTCCCAGCCAGAAAACTTTGGGGGAAATCTCTTTTCCACTCCTGGATCCCGAATTTCCTCCTGCTGCCCGGCAGGGAGCATCCAGAGGGGAAACTTTGGGATGGCTTTGGCTCGGATGATCCCGCAGATATTTTGAGAAGGTTCCTGGTTTTGCTGTGGCGACGGCCGAGGCCGGATTTAGACTTTGGGAAGGAGGGGCAGGGGGGGTTCCTCTGTTTGGGTGGATTTTTATGGATTTTTTTTTAATGGATTTTGATGGAATTTTTTAGCGCTGCCTTGACTGGAATCCATGTGGAGAGCTCCTGGCCAGGGGTATTCCGGTGCCAGGCCCGGAGTGACACCAGCCTGTCCCTGCTGAAGCAAAGCCTCCATCCCATCCCTGTCCCAGCCATGGATGCCACCAGTTCTCCTTCTGCAGAGCTCCATGGGCACCTGGGCTGTTCCCAGGGATAATTTGGGATAAATCCCTGCTGTCCCCTGAGTCCCCCTTGCCCCGGGGGGAATTAAAGCCACAGGAATTCTCAGAGCACTTTGAAGATGAAAAACAATTACTGGGCTGAGCCCTGCAGGCCAGGAAAGGGCAAAACTGCTTTGAAGCCAAGAGCTGTGGCCCGGAGAAGTGGCTGCAGTTTGGAGTTATGGAATTGACAGCTGGAAAAGCACCTGCTGGGGGCTCTGGAATTAGGAGGGACTGGAATTCCTCGTGTTTGGATTCCCGGTGTTGGGTTTTGCTGTAATTGCTGCTCCCCCCTGGGTTGGTTTTTTTTCCCGGCTGAATTTGCTTTGTTTCCTTCCCTGCAGGGACCTCAGGGCCTCAGGGGGTACCCTGGCATGGCAGGACTCAAAGGGGAGACGGTGAGTGCGAGTGGCATCCCCTGGCTCAGATGCCACTGAGATCATTCCCAGCATCATCATCATCATCATCATCATCATCCTCCCTCCATGGTGGGCCATCTCAGGGGTGCAGGGATGGGTTGGGATGGGAATTGACCTTTCCTTGCTCTCTTTCCAGGGTGCTGCTGGATACAAGGGCATGGTTGGGAGCATTGGAGCCGCTGGGAGGCCGGTGGGTGTCCCCTCCTCGGCCCTGCCTGCTCTGGGGTCCCACTTTGCCGTGCTCAATCCTTGTGTTCCTCTCTCCTCCAGGGCAGGGAAGGCCCCAAGGGACCGCCTGGGAGCCCTGGTGACAAGGGAGAGCTGGTACGTGACACCCCCAGTGGCAGTGTCCCCTTTTCCCCAGCTTGGCACTGTTCCCTCGGTGCCCTCGAGGGCATCTCCAGCTCCCAGCTCTGTCCCCTGCACCAGCAGGACACTGACACTTGTCCCCTCCTGCTCTAGGGTGGCCGTGGCATTAGGGGACCCCAGGGTGACATCGGCCCCAAGGGGGAGAATGTGAGTACAGCTGGTGGCACCTGTGCCCTGCCCGTCCCTGGCTGTGCCATCGTGTGTCCTTGTCCCCTCCAGCACACACACCTGGAATGTTCCTTTCCCTCCTCATGTTTTTTTGTCCCCACCGTGAGCCTTTGAGTCCCTTTGAGGTGTCCCACGTGTGGCTCTTGTCCCTTTTCAGGGCCTCCCTGGCATCGATGGCAAGGATGGCACCCCAGGGATCCCAGGAGTGAAGGTGAGGGAATGCCACCCATGGGAAAAACGGGAATGGCAAAGGGAACAATGTCCCTTGTGGGCACCCCAATCCTGGTGACACCCCCTCTGTCCCTCGCAGGGTGGCACAGGACAGGCCGGACGGCCGGGAACGCCGGGAAACCGGGGACAAGCTGTGAGTGAGGGACCCGCCAGGCTGTGCCCTGAGGGGTGACAGCCCTCTGCCAGGGGTGCCAGGGACAGCACGCCATGGGGACACTGAGCTGTGCCAGGGGTGACACCCTGAGGGGACACTGAGCTGTGCCAGGGGTGACAGCCCGAGGGGACACTGAGCTGTGCCAGGGGTGACACCCTGAGGGGACACTGAGCTGTGCCAGGGGTGACAGCCCGAGGGGACACTGAGCTGTGCCAGGGGTGACACCCTGAGGGGACACTGAGCTGTGCCCAGGGGTGACACCCTGAGGGGACACTGAGCTGTGCCAGGGGTGACAGCCCGAGGGGACACTGAGCTGTGCCAGGGGTGACACCCTGAGGGGACACTGAGCTGTGCCAGAGGTGACACCCTGAGGGGACACTGAGCTGTGCCCAGGGGTGACACCCTGAGGGGACACTGAGCTGTGCCAGGGGTGACACCCTGAGGGGACACTGAGCTGTGCCAGGGGTGACACCCTGAGGGGACACTGAGCTGTGCCAGGGGTGACAGCCCGAGGGGACACTGAGCTGTGCCAGAGGTGACACCCTGAGGGGACACTGAGCTGTGCCCAGGGGTTGATCCCAGATTTGTTCCCTTAGGGATTGCCAGGCCAGCCAGGAAGCAAAGGTGGCCCAGGTGACAAGGTAGGTGACACCTCTGAGCATCCACCCCGTGGCTCTTGTCCCCTCCCTGTCCCCACTGTCCCTTCCAGTCCCCATTGTCCCTCTCTGTCCCTGCTGTTCCCACTGTCCCCCCCTGTCCCCTCTGACTCCCGTCGCTCTCCCTTCACAGGGTTAATCGGGTCCTCGGGGCCACCCCGGTGCCACCGGTGCCCCAGGGCAGCTTGTAAGTACCGAGATGTCGCCGTGTCCCTCCCGGGGACAGCCTCGGGGCTCAGCTCTCTCTTTTTCCCTTTTTTCCTCGTTTCCTGCGAGCTCAAAGCGGAATCGGGCACTTCATTGCCACCCTGCTCCTGTCACTACCCCGGTGACGAGGACAGGGCCACCCCTGCCTGGGGGAAGGACAAGGAGCACACCCCGCCCGTCAATCCCATTTCTGTGGGATTTTCTCCCCCGTTTTTAGGGCGAGCCCGGACCTCGGGGTGAGCAGGGCCCGCAGGGTGTCCCCGGGCCGAAGGTGAGTTGGGGACACCGCGGGGGTGTGGCAGTGCCAGGAGGGGTGGCCCTGACTCCGCTCCTTCCCGCAGGGTGACAGGGGCGAGCGTGGCCTCGTGGGACCTCCGGGAGAGCAGGGCAGAGCGGTGAGTTGTCCCCAAAGCCGGTGAGTTGTCCCCAAAGCTGGGCTGGGACACAGGGAATGCTCTGAGTTGTCCCCAGGGGTGGTGAATTGTCCCCAGAGCCGGATTGGGACACAGGGAATGCTCTGAGTTGTCCTCAAAGCCGGTAAATTGTCCCCAAAGTTGGACTGGGACATGGGGGATGCTCTGAATTGTCCCAAAAGCCGGTGAATTGTCCCCAAAGCAAGGCTGGGGCATGGGAGATGCTCTGAGATGTCCCCGTGGAGGAGCTGGAGTTGTGGGACAGGCTCTGAGTTGTCCCCAAAGCCACTCTGGGACACGAGGGATGCTCTGAGTTGTCCCCAAATCCAGTGAATTGTCCCCAAAGCCAATCTGGGACATGGGAGATGCTCTGAATTTTTCCCAAAGCCACTCTGGGACACAGGGAATGCTCTGAGATGTCCCCAAATCCAGTGAATTGTCCCCAAAGCCAATCTGGGACATGGGAGATGCTCTGAAATTTTCCCAAAGCCACTCTGGGACACAGGGAATGCTCTGAGATGTCCCCAGAGAGGGGCTGGGACATGGGACGGGCTCTCAGTTGTCCCCAAATCCAGGCTGGCACACAGGACATGCTCTGAATTGTCCCCAAAGCCACTCTGGGACACGGGGAATGCTCTGAATTGTCCCCAAAGCTGAGCTGGGACACAGGGAATGCTCTAAATTGTCCCCAAAGCCACTCTTGGACACGAGGGATGCTCTGAGATGTCCCCAGAGAGGGGCTGGGACATGGGACAGGTTCTCAGTTGTCCCCAAAGCCACTCTGGGACACGGGGAATGCTCTGAATTGTCCTCAAATCCACTCTGGGACACGAGGGAATGCTCTGAGTTGTCCCCAAATCCAGGCTGGCACACGGGGACACTCAGCCTGGGATGTGGGATTCCAAGCCTGGCTTTGGGATCAGTGGGGCACAGCCAGACCTCCCCCTTTGATCTGGGGTCAGTCCCATGCCTGCCCTGCTGCTGGGGGATTAGGGAATAGCTCAGGGATTAATGGCACCCCAGCTGGGACAGGAATTTCCTCCCATCCCAGGAGAGCCCAGCCCCTCTCCAGAGCTTTCCTGCACTGGAACAACAGCCAAAACTCTGATTTTTAGTGCTTTTCCTGTGGACAGGAATCCATCCATGGAAAAATCACTGCTCTGGGCATGGATTCTCCACGGTTTTGTGCCCTGTGTACCCTCAGAGCTGGGATTTAGGGAAGGTTGGGAGGCTGGGATCAGCTGGAGGATGGGGAGCTGCACCTCAATGCCTTGGGGATGATTCCCTGATAGGTAAGCTTTCAATTTTCTCCTCTCAATCATTTCCCCATATTCCTTGGATTTCCAGGGCCCAAAGGGTGAGCAGGGCCCACCTGGCATCCCAGGACCACAAGGCTTGCCTGGAGTCAAAGGAGACAAGGTGACAGCTCTGGGGACAGCAGGGTGGCTTTGAGGGGACACTGCTCTGAGCTGGGCTGATCCCACTTTTTCCTTTTCCCAGGGCTCTCCAGAGAAAAACGGCCCCAAAGGCAGCACTGTGAGTTCATCCCAGCTGGGATTAACAGAGCTGGGTTTAGCAGAGCTGGGTTAACAGAGCTGGGATTAACAGAGCTGGGATTAACAGCTGGGATTAACAGAGTTGGGATTAACAGGGCTGGGATTGACAGAGCTGGAATTTATAAAGCTGGGATTAACAGAGCTGGGATTAACAAAGCTGGGATTAACAGAGCTGGGATTAACAGAGCTGGGATTAACAGCTGGGATTAACAGAGCTGGGCTTAACAGAGCTGGAATTCATAAAGCTGGGATTAACAGAGCTGGGATTAACAGAGCTGGGATTGACAAAGCTGGGCTTAACAGAGCTGGGATTAACAGAGCTGGGATTGACAGAGCTGGGATTGACAAAGCTGGGATTAACAGAGCTGGGATTGACAAAGCTGGGATTAACAAAGCTGGGATTAACAGAGCTAGGATTAACAGAGCTGGGATTAACAGAGCTGGGATTGACAAAGCTGGGATTAACAAAGCTTGGATTAACAGAGCTGGGATTAACAGAGCTGGGATTAACAGCTGGGATTAACAGAGCTGGGATTAACAGGGCTGGGATTAACAGAGCTGGGATTAACAGAGCTGGGATTAACGGGGCTGGGATTGACAGAGCCGGGATTAACAGAGCCGGGATTGACAGAGCCGGGATTGACAGAGCTGGGATTGACAGAGCTGGGATTAACAGGGCTGGGATTGACAGAGCTGGGATTGACAGAGCTGGGATTAACAGAGCTGGGATTAACAGAGCTGGGATTAACAGAGCTGGGATTGACAGAGCTGGGATTAACGGAGCTGGGATTGACAAAGCTGGGATTAACAGAGCTGGGATTAACAGAGCTGGGATTAACAGAGCTGGGATTAACAGCTGGGATTAACAGAGCTGGGCTTAACAGAGCTGGAATTTATAAAGCTGGGATTAACAGAGCTGGGATTAACAGAGCTGGGATTAACAGAGCTGGGATTGACAGAGCTGGGATTAACAGAGCTGGGATTAACAGAGCTTGGATTGACAGAGCTGGGATTAACAGAGCTGGGATTGACAGAGCTGGGATTGACAGAGCTGGGATTAACAGAGCTGGGGTTAACAGAGCTGGGATTGACAGAGCTGGGATTAACAGAGCTGGGATTGACAGAGCTGGGATTAACAGAGCTGGGATTAACAGAGCTGGGATTGACAGAGCTGGGATTGACAGAGCTGGGATTAACAGAGCTGGGATTGACAGAGCTGGGATTGACAGAGCTGGGATTAACAGAGCTGGGATTGACAAAGCTGGGATTAACAGAGCTGGGATTAACAGAGCTGGGATTAACAGGGCTGGGATTGACAGCTGGGATTAACAGAGCTGGGCTTAACAGAGCTGGAATTTATAAAGCTGGGATTAACAGAGCTGGGATTAACAGAGCTGGGATTAACAGGGCTGGGATTAACAGAGCTGGGATTAACAGAGCTGGGATTGACAGAGCTGGGATTAACAGAGCTGGGATTAACAGAGCTGGGATTAACAGAGCTGGGATTGACAAAGCTGGGATTAACAGAGCTGGGATTAACAGAGCTGGGATTGACAAAGCTGGGATTAACAGAGCTGGGATTGACAGAGCTGGGATTAACAGAGCTGGGATTAACAGAGCTGGGATTGACAGAGCTGGGATTAACAGAGCTGGGATTGACAGACCCGGGGTTAACAGAGCTGGGATTAACAGAGCTGGGATTGACAGAGCCGGGATTAACAGAGCTGGGATTAACAGAGCTGGGATTGACAGAGCTTGGATTGACAGAGCTGGGATTAACGGAGCTGGGACTGACAAAGCTGGGATTAACAGAGCTGGGATTAACAGAGCTGGGATTAACAGAGCTGGAATTTATAAAGCTGGGATTAACAGAGCTGGGATTAACAGCTGGGATTAACAGAGCTGGGATTGACAGAGCTGGGATTAACAGAGCTGGGATTAACAGAGCTGGGATTAACAGAGCTGGGATTAAGGGAGCTGGGATTGACAGAGCTGGGCTTAACAGAGCTGGAATTTATAAAGCTGGGATTAACAGATCTGGGATTAACAGAGCTGGGATTAACAGGGCTGGGATTGACAGCTGGGATTAACAGAGCTGGGCTTAACAGAGCTGGAATTTATAAAGCTGGGAATAACAGAGCTGGGATTAACAGAGCTGGGATTGACAGAGCTGGGATTAACAGAGCTGGGATTAACAAAGCTGGGATTAACAGAGCTAGGATTAACAGAGCTGGGATTAACAGAGCTGGGATTGACAGAGCTGGGATTAACAGAGCTGGGCTTAACAGAGCTGGAATTTATAAAGCTGGGATTAACAGAGCTAGGATTAACAGAGCTGGGATTAACAGAACTGGGATTAAGAGAGCTGGGATTAACAGAGCTGGGATTAACAGGGCTGGGATTAACAGAGCTGGGATTGACAAAGCTGGGATTAACAGAGCTGGGATTAACAGAGCTGGGATTGACAAAGCTGGGATTAACAGAGCTGGGATTAACAGGGCTGGGATTAACAGCTGGGATTAACAGAGTTGGGATTAACAGAGCTGGAATTTATAAAGCTGGGATTAACAGAGCTGGGATTAACAGAGCTGGGATTAACAGCTGAGATTGACAAAGCTGGGATTAACAGAGCTGGGATTAACAGGGCTGGGATTAACAGCTGGGATTAACAGAGTTGGGATTAACAGAGCTGGAATTTATAAAGCTGGGATTAACAGAGCTGGGATTAACAGAGCTGGGATTAACAGAGCTGGGATTGACAGAGCTGGGATTAACAAAGCTTGGATTAACAGAGCTGGGATTAACAGAGCTGGGATTAACAGAGCTGGGATTAACAGAGCTGGGATTAACAGAGCTGGGATTGACAGAGCTGGGATTAACAGAGCTGGGATTGACAAAGCTGGGATTAACAGAGCTGGGATTAACAGAGCTGGGATTAACAGAGCTGGGATTAACAAAGCTGGGATTAACAGAGCTGGGATTGACAAAGCTGGGATTAACAGAGCTGGGATTAACAGAGCTGGGATTGACAAAGCTGGGATTAACAGAGCTGGGATTAACAGAGCTGGATTTTATAAAGCTGGGATTAACAGATCTGGGATTGACAGAGCTGGGATTAACAAAGCTGAGATTAACAGAGCTGGGATTGACAAAGCTGGGATTAACAGAGCTGGGATTAACAGAGCTGGGATTAACAGAGCTGGGATTGACAGAGCTGGGATTAACAGAGCTGGGATTGACAAAGCTGGGATTAACAGAGCTGGGATTGACAGAGCTGGGATTAACAGAGCTGGGATTGACAAAGCTGGGATTGACAGAGCTGGGATTAACAGAGCTGGGATTGACAGAGCTGGGATTGACAGGGCTGGGATTAACAGAGCCGTGATTAACAGAGCCGGGATTAACAGAGCTGGGATTAACAGAGCTGGGATTGACAGAGCCGGGATTAACAGAGCTGGGATTAACAGAGCTGGGATTAACAAAGCTGGGATTAACAGAGCTGGGATTGACAGAGCTGGGATTAACAGAGCTGGGATTGACAGAGCTGGGATTGACAGAGCTGGGATTAACGGAGCTGGGATTTACAAAGCTGGGATTAACAGAGCTGGGATTAACAGAGCTGGGATTAACAGCTGGGATTAACAGAGCTGGGCTTAACAGAGCTGGAATTTATAAAGCTGGGATTAACAGAGCTGGGATTAACAGAGCTGGGATTAACAGAGCTGGGATTGACAGAGCTGGGATTAACAGGGCTGGGATTAACAGAGCTGGGATTAACAGAGCTGGGATTAACAGCTGGGATTAATAGAGCTGGGATTAACGGGGCTGGGATTGACAGAGCTGGGATTAACAGCTGGGATTGACAGAGCTGGGATTGACAGGGCTGGGATTAACAGAGCTGGGATTAACAGAGCCGGGATTAACAGGGCTGGGATTGACAGAGCTGGGATTAACAGGGCTGGGATTGACAGAGCTGGGATTAACAGGGCTGGGATTGACAGAGGTGGGATTGACAGAGCTGGTATTGACAGAGCTGGGATTGACAGAGCTGGGATTGACAGAGCTGGGATTAACGGAGCTGGGATTGACAAAGCTGGGATTAACAGAGCTGGGATTAACAGAGCTGGGATTAACAGAGCTGGGATTGACAGAGCTGGGATTAACAGAGCTGGGATTGACAGAGCTGGGATTGACAAAGCTGGGATTGACAGAGCTGGGATTAACAGAGCTGGGATTAACAGAGCTGGGCTTAACAGAGCTGGAATTTATAAAGCTGGGATTAACAGATCTGGGATTAACAGAGCTGGGATTAACAGAGCTGGGATTGACAGCTGGGATTAACAGAGCTGGGATTAACAAAGCTTGGATTAACAGAGCTGGGATTAACAGCTGTGATTAACAGGGCTGGGCTTAACAGAGCTGGATTTTATAAAGCTGGGATTAACAGATCTGGGATTGACAGAGCTGTGATTAAGGGAGCTGGGATTGACAGAGCTGGGATTAACAGAGCTGGGATTAACAGAGCTGGGATTGACAAAGCTGGGATTAACAGAGCTGGGATTAACAGAGCTGGGATTAACAGAGCTGGGATTGACAGAGCTGGGATTAACAGAGCTGGGATTAACAAAGCTTGGATTAACAGAGCTGGGATTAACAGCTGTGATTAACAGGGCTGGGCTTAACAGAGCTGGATTTTATAAAGCTGGGATTAACAGAGCTGGGATTAACAGAGCTGGGATTAACGGGGCTGGGATTGACAGAGCTGGGATTAACAGAGCTGGGATTGACAGAGCTGGGATTAACAGAGCTGGGATTGACAGAGCTGGGATTAACAGAGCTGGGATTGACAGGGCTGGGATTAACAGAGCCGTGATTAACAGAGCCGGGATTAACAGAGCTGGGATTAACAGAGCTGGGATTGACAGAGCCGGGATTAACAGAGCTGGGATTGACAGAGCTGGGA